TTATTAAAATAATCTGCTTGTTTTTTTTTTTTTTAATTGTCCCAATTAGAATTACTTGTGTATTTAGGTGAAAACTAATAACCTGAAACGATGAGCTTAGTAAAATGTTCTATAGCAATAATATTTTTTCCATTGAATTTTAAATTGATAACATAAGTATAGCATTAACTCGTGTAAGAATTATAATATATCTTTCCATTCTAGAAGTATTGCAGCGTGAAATGTATTCAAGTCACACTAGATAAGAACTTTATCCAAGTCATCACCAGTCTAACTTAGTCGATGGTAAGGTTTGACAAAAGTGCAGTGTCCAGTTGGTCAAGAAATGCTTTCATATCTGATATATGTTTTACGTTTAACATAACATTTACAACCAAACTGCTGAAATAATATGATATTACGGCAATCTAGGTACCAGCACAACTACTAATCTGCTTCCAGTAGAAAGAGTATATAAATATATATATATATATATTAGTTAAATTCCTCATATACCGACGTATTAAACTCCTTTATGTGACATATTTAAAATGCGCTGGACAGATGATAGCTGAAATTTCACGGCTGATCATAAAATGGTTTCGGAACCCAATGTAAGGTTAACATGAGCCTTATTATATCTACAAAACTGATGGTTAAGAAAGAACATGTCAGAAGAGAGTGAAGGTGATTATAAAAAAGGAAATTACGCTAATGAGTATGCTCTGCTATTTTTGGTCTTCAGTTGTTTTAACATTTACACTCGCGAGTAGTGTGGCATGCTCACATATTTTTAGTATTCAGTTGTGCTGGTATTTGTATTCGTGAGTAGTGTGGTATGCTCACATATTTTTAGTATTCAGTTGTGCTAGTATTTATATTCGTGAGTAGTGTGGCATGCTCACATATTTTTAGTATTCAGTTGTGCTAGTATTTATATTCGTGAGTAGTGTGGCATGCTCACATATTTTTAGTATTCAGTTGTGCTAGTATTTATATTCGTGAGTAGTGTGGTTTGCTCACACATTTTTAGTATTCAGTTGTACTAGTATTTATATTCGTGATTAGTGGGGCATGCTCACATATTTTTAGTATTCAGTTGTGCTAGTATTTATATTCGTGAGTAGTGTGGTATGCTCACATATTTTTAGTATTCAGTTGTGCTAGTATTTATATTGTTTAGTTCAGCTGTTTTTGGTATTCAGTTAAAATATAAAATATAAATAGGGCAAAACTGCGCAAAAAACTATTTAAAAATACAGACAAAACAACGTTTACATTACACAACAAAATCTAAAAAATTAATAATGACTCTATATACTGCACATATGGAGTCAATATTTTCGTATTTGAGAAATAAGAATAAATATAATATTAGCAATTCCGCTAAATTTGTTGACAAAATTAAGAACATTAATCTAAATGCTTTTGACAAATTGGTATCATTTGATATGGTTTCTTTGTTTACTAAAGTCCTGGTAGAAGATGCTATTAATTATTTTCATGATACATTAATTCAAGCTTCCATTTCCCCGGTTGAGGTTGTTGAAATTATTAATCTAACCAGAGTATGTGCTGAAAATTCTTTTTTCCAAGTTAATGAGAAATATTATGAACAAAATAATGGGTTAGTTATGGGTTCTCCTCTTTCTCCACTTTTATGTGATCTTTATATGGACAATTTAGAACGTATTGCTCTTGATGATGCAATTTTAAAACTTGATTGTTGGATTAGATTTGTTGACGACACCTTCTTGGTTTGGTGGAATGGAGATACCTTATTAAAAATAATTGCTGATTACCTAAATAATATTTATCTCTTTAAACCTATCCAGTTTACTTATGAAATTGAACAAGATAATTTTTACCTTTTTAAGACGTACTTGTAAAACGAAATAATAATAGAACTATTTCTACAACTGTTTACCGAAAGAAAACCTTACTTAGTTTCCATGCCGCCACATCAACGATCGTGCCACCCATTTTATCAAAAGTTAGCAGCTTTTCAACTTATGTAAACAAAGCAGTTAGAATTTTCCCGATTCCATTCATTTAAAAATTTAATTAAGTTACATAAAAGTCATTGCTAATGATAGAGGTTATACTGTCATATTAAACAGTGTTTATGATAACTAGTATAGTGATATTAACATATGTAAACGGTATAACTAGTGAAGTTGCCAACGTATGTATTTAGAAAACAATTTTTTCCCATTTTTAAGCCATTTAATAAAATCGAAACAATACTTCCAAGCACCAAAGATAAAAAAGATATTCTACAAAAAGGTATATATCAAATTATATGTGAATGTAACAAAACTATATTGGCCAAACTAAACGTAATTTGAAATACCGCATTAATGAACATAAAGGTTATGTATTTAATAAAAAGATGTTAATTTCTCCGCTGGCCGAACTTGTTGCAGAAACAGGTCACTCAATACAGTGATATAAAACAATAATTTTAAATGAACTCAATACAGTAAATGATTTTAATATCAGAGAATCTATTGAAATTGTGTTGTAAATTAAATAATCATTTGTTAAATAGAGATGAATGGTTGGCTAGTAGTAGTAATGAATTTTGAGAGAAATATTGACTCCATATGTGCAGTATTCATGTTACACCGGTGAATTACACTGAGTCCAACCATTCGTGTATAAAAACCCGCTGTTCGCATAGATTTTTACTCCTGATGATGGTAGCGGAAGCTACCGAAACATATAGAGTCATTATTGTGGTATGTTCAACTGTTTTTAATATTCAAATATATAACCATTTTACTTCTAAGACTTCAAACTGTATTTCTAATCACCTTTGGGACAATTTTTGTTAGATAATAAGTAAAATTTGACAAATAATAAACTGAAAAGTTAAAAGCTGAGTTTATTGGGTAGCTGGAAGCCTTTAACGCTATATCACAATAAGAGAGCTAGAGTATGGGTTTATAAAGAAAAATTATACACTTTACAGTAAAATGTTACTCGAGAAAAACTAAAATTACAAGATCATGCGATGTATAAAGCTTAAAAGATATGCATAACATAAATCAGTTGTTCCCTTCTTTATGATGCTAACACAATAATCACAGTTATTAGGAAGTCATACATGCCTAAACAAAATATATATATATGTATTAAAATTGATGAAATATTCATCCAATACCCCAATTGAACAATTTCTTATATATTCATTTTTATTATTTCTAGAATGTTTGTGTCTAATCGAATTGTTGCGCAAATTTAAAGTAAACAAACAATGTGTTTTACAGATCATAAACTTTCGACTTTACTTTTGTGTATTCAATTAATTTGTATATTGCTTTTTTAGAAAAAAAAGTGACCATACTGTGAATGTTAACGACTCAACAAATATTTGTTTTAACTATTTTCACCTTATCATTATTGAAAGCTGTTGATAAAGCAAGCAAGTGACATTCTAATTAACAAATGTTTGCTCTACTACAGCAGAGGTGTTACATACAACTACACCTCATACGACTTTCTTCAAGGTGATCATTCTTGTTTAGAAGGCATAAAGACTACAAACTGTATTTACTCAAAACTTCATCGATTCGTTAATAAAATACATAAATTAACTGTTTATTCAACTTAAGTTAAAACTCAAAAGTAAAGTACTTATTTTAAAATCGTTCTTCGTGCTTAGTTCTTTCTCTAGACTACGTAAACTTAATTTCTCCGGTTTTTTTTCAAGTTTTATCAAATAAAAATCCCCAAAATAAGAGATCAAATACTGATTTGAAACAGGAAAACAAAGAATACTTTTGTCCTATTAATCGAATATAAAACGAAAATTTCTTGTAATTTTAAATAAAAAAATATTAAGTTTCATTGAGTTAAAGTCCTAGATCATGTATAACGTTACAAATGTACTCAAAATAATTAGATTAGTTTTTGTTGTAGAGTATAGGTAGCAAGTAAACTGATGCAAACACATAAATTCAAAACTTACAGATGACAAAGGTATTCATAATAGGTTTTCTGATCGCCCAATTGCAACGTCAGCTCCTCTAAAGCAGAGATCTCTAAGCGTCCAGAAGTTGACGTCAACTGCAGCGCTTTGATGAACAGAATCACTTATAATTCTCCGGATAACGGTCTTCCGCTGTGTGGCGCTATACATCAAACCGATCAATTTTTCATAGAGTAAGAGCAGACGATAGAAGAGATGCTTATATATCGGATGAATTATCATGGAACGTAGTTGCTTTAAATAGCCATGTAAAACTTGGGGGGCAGTAAAATTATTTCGTTTTGAATATTATTCAAAGCAGCTATAGAATTCCAAAACCCGCTTTGGAAGGTTGGTATTTCACGTCAAAGCCTAATATAATACATTATTTTAGCTATCATTAAATGAAAGATGATTTATGAAATATCTGAATAAGTTAAATAGTAGTGCAACCAAGAAATCTGGAGTTTCCAAGACTCGTTGTTTTTTTTTTTTTGTATTTTTAGCACAAAGCTCCATAATGAGCTATCTATGCATTATCTACCACAGGGTATCGAACTCTGAATTTTCGTAACGGGAACAAAGATTTGATAAATTCAATATGAGTGTAGATAATAGTTATACACACAAAGTTTTACTGGTATATTTGATATGTGAGAGAATGTACTCATCAAAGAACCAACAAACGTGCAGATCCCACATTTTGAATGTAACAGCTAACCTGTATAACAGTACAATAAAAATGGTGCACGATTAATAGTTATGATAAGTTTGATATTTGAAAAAAAAATTGTAAGTGCACAATGAATAAATGTGAATTGTATCTAGAATTGGCAAGCGAAAGTAAACAATCATTAGAATTTGTAAGATCAATATGAGAGAAAGCAATTTATATTAGTAAAATATACATGTGAACCGGCATCATAACTTTATAATGGCGATTTGCAAATATGCTAATGTAATAGCTATTCTTCTCTCATTCAAACCATGGTGCCACGTGGGACATGTTTAGTTCATATATATTCAGCTCACAGCGATTTTCCGACCTCTTACAGTACAATGCCGCCAGGATAGACCTATGACGTATAGCGATATTGTTTAGTGTTGTAGAGCCAAAGTACAAGGAAGAAAGGAGTCTTCAGCGTTATCCACAGAAGAGGAAAATCTTGACAACGATACATTTGAGACAGCAATAAGGTACATAACCACCCTCAGCCTAATCCAAAGCAATGCCTTTGCTTACAATACAAAGATTATGGTTACGAAAGATAACTCCTCGTTTCAAAAAGTCATTGTGATGAAGTTAGGTATACTTCCTGGTTAACAAGATAATAAACAAAGATTTGAAAATGATGAAGCCTCATAAGACTAAGTTTCCAACAATACCTCGAAATTAGTAGCTATTTTCATAAAACAAAAAGTTGGCTCAAGACAGTGGAATCGCAATCAACAACATATCTATCACGTCTTACGGACGTAGTTCCAATGGACATTTGAGATTTTGAATCACTTAAATCTGGAATGATATGCGAACGCTTACATTCAGTGAAGGGTTTCTTGAAAAGTTTGTCAAGATATGTGGTCTGAGAATGACCTCGCCATCCTTTGGAGAAGTTTGTTATAATAAAAATTGAGGTTTCATGAAATAATGCATAGTCATGGCAATCAAAGTATTTGTATTTTGTATTTATGGGAAAGCTACTACGGCTGTCTACTGCCGTCCCAAAATTTGAGTTACTGACCAGAAAGAAGGCAGTCAATCAGTTGCACCCTAGAACACCCACAGTCAACGTTATGGGACTAACTATCACTCTTATAAAGTATCCATAGATTAAAGTGTGGGAATAATTTGCGGCATTTCACAGATTTGAATCCAGTTCACCAGCTTCCAACTCGAGAGCTCTGCCACAGGACCAATCCATACTCTTCAGAAAGGAAGAAATATGCCTGTGGTCATATACATCGTATAACATATTTATTGTGTCAATTGATTCCCTGACAAACTCCATAAGGTAATTTGAATTTTGGGATAAATATTTCTTTTGCAAGTTTGATTAATATGGGTGGCTTTGTAATGTCGCTGTTCAATATAGTGTAATTTGTGTATAAACCTCCAATATAAGCCTAGTTTTTAGAGTATTCGAAAAAAAAGAACGTAAGAGGGTTTGAGAACAACAAATATCTAGCAGGCTAAAAATTAAGCTTATAAAAATGTTTAGCCATAATGATTTTTGAAAATGAGATTATAGATAACTAGAGTCATTAGATAATGGATGAAATAATGTTACATAGTTATAGAATAAGTCAAGCATTATAGAAATAAATGTATGTTATTTCAAATATATAAAAATACATCAAAATGTTTTATTTCTCAGCAAGTCTATGAACAAATTATCACTCCCAAAACAATGAAGCTGAGACTCCCACATCATAAATGTGTCGACTTCTCAGCTTCTTTTTATCTACAAAAGTAGTTTAGTAGTACAACCAAACTTACATAATATTGACATATATATATTTATACTTTTTTATGTTTTAGTTTGTTGATTATTTTACTTATTTTAAGGCCTGTTTCCTTCTAATAGCGCTTGGAGTTATTTTGTATAAAATACTTGATTGTGCGAGATATTATTTATTATTATATGTTTTCCTCACTTGATAACGTTACTTTTACTTTTAATCTTGAGATCTTCTGTAACCTAACAAAATCTGTTGCAATACTAAGTGTACCTCTAGCGAAACCTTTATGGCGAAATATTAGGTATTTTAATAAAATATTCTGGAGTTTTGGTTATTTGATACTTCATAACTTATTTTTATAGTGGATTTTGCATTATAAGTTTTACCATATATGGTCGAATTTATGAAAAAGCTCAAGTCTTATCAGATATGGTTAGCTTTATATTAGTAAAAAACTAACGCATTAAGTGACTCACATAAGTCGGAAATTCATGAAATATATTCTATATAACATGTAATAGTACATAAATGATGTATTGAACCAAGAAAGTTTATGAGCTAAGAGATTTAGTTAAGATGTATATAAAAAAGTACAATATGCAGTGCAAATACAGGTGACGAACGACGTCCTTCTTAAAGCCACAATATTTGCTTCAATAAATTAGAAACCGCTATGCTATATTATCTTGTTTACTTCTGGAGGAGCAAGACTCACACTGTGGTGGAAAACACCGTCAACTAGACCAAATCTTTATTTCTAGAGAAATAGAACTTACATCGTGGTATAACACACTGACTAACTCACACAATGATGAAACACACCACCTGCTAAACCTTATCTTTATTTCTAGAGAAGCAGTACTTACACAATTGTGAAACACACTTACTGACTCACATAGTGGTGAAACATACTAACTGACTCAAGCAGTGGTGGACACACCGATTATTAGACCCGAACTTTATTTACTTTGTGTGAAATACTTAAAAAAATAAAATTAAATCTGACGATCAAGCCTATAACGATTCTTGTTTTCCATGATTAGCGCCTTCATACACAAAGACAACTTTGCGTCGACTGTGCCTATGTTAAACATAAAACATCCGGAAATGGCTCACCCATGGTAAGAAGAAGCACATATTCTGATGGGTGAAATGATCTGTACCTCATTTTAGGAATTACACTCTATTATTATAGGAATTATAGAAATGAGTATTAGAATGGGTTCCTGGTGTGGATTATCTGGTATTTTGCTGGGGATCATTAGATCTGATTTCATTTTAAATTGCTGCCCTCCTTCTCCTTACCATTTCTATATTAAGGGGGCGGATATGCTTGAACGTTTGGGTCTCTCACCTTACTGTTTGTCCATGTATCGATAAATCAGTCGCTTAGATTGAAAATACCAAATATTAAAATAATTTAAATGGAAGATAACAGTCGCCCTTACCGCATGCATATCATCAATGTCTGCATCGAAGAGGAAATGGAATGTCTACCATTTTCTTTGAACCTCAGACCCATAGAACACATCTGGGACAAGCTATACGGATGGATTTCACGACTTTCTTATCCATAAGACCCATGTGTGTGTGTTTTTCTTTATTTTTTGTTTCAAACCAAACAACACCAAGAAGTAAAAAAATATGTTCATACGAGCTTTGATGGTACAGCTTTAGAAAATGTGTATGAAAAAGATACAAATACTTTTTCGTAATAAAGCGGCTTAAGAAGAACTCACATATAATATTTCTTGTATGAAAATCGTTCAGCTACGTTAACCATACTATATTATTTTTTATTATTCTGTGGCAACTTTGTGTTCTGGAATGCACTTAAAAGTTTATGGTCATGGCGACGCTATTAGCTGAAATGAAATGTAATACGTACCTTTACGAATATAAACCAACTGAGACGAATATTTAAACACACACACACACACACACACACATATATATATACTCCTATGATTTCTATCGGAGTAAATGTGAGAGAAAAGCAAGAAAATAAATTTTGTATTTTTTCTTTCATAAAGTGAAAACCAGCTGTGAGTTTCAAACAACGTCAGTAGAAAATTCAAAGAGTTTTCTGTCCAATTTATCAATATTTTTAATATAAAAATGTAAGAAGTTCAACAAAGAGGTGAAATTCTATATTCACCATTTCGTACAGAACTTATTATCTGATGTTGAATAAAACCAAAACTACAACTGATCATTGTTTTCAGCTGATACAACGAAACAGTAGAATGTTCATTTTATTCCAGATACTAAGAATTACGTTTAACAAATATCTTTTACTTTTCTGCTATCTGTGTTTCACAAAATTAAAACACATAGTTTGATTTTTCCTTCTCCTCATATTTTGGTAGTGGGCACAGCACAGATAGTTCATTGTGTGGCAAACAAACGAATTCTCATATTTTGAACCAAGAAATACTCACTCCTTAAGTCATTTCTAGTCGCAAACAAACTGGTGCGTCGGAATATCCAAATCATTAAAAGGATGGCAGTTGTAAATGAATACTGTCTACCAGTTAATAAAAACTATTTAAAATATTATTTAACAACTAAGGGATAAACTCCTGCTGCGTGTACGATGTATATTCTATAGTTATTTGACAA